GCCTCCTGCAAAGATTGCTTTGGAAGAAAGGACTCAATTGCTAAAGAAACTGTTATGAAATCCCTGCTGTGATAGTTGACGTTTTGTCGACACACATCCCTGTATCGCCACCTGTCCTCCTCGCCGTCCCCTGGAGCACGGAGGGGAGGGATTCAGCGATCGGGGAGACTGAGCCTGGGTACAGGGCCTCCAGTACAGCTGCGTGTGTTCACAGTTGCTGGATGAAGGAAGGAAAATTGATGTGGAATGATGGGAACTACTGACCTTTCCTCCTCTGCTGTGGAGCTAAGCCTGGAGCCCTTATTCCTTCTGTCTGTCTTTCCACTGCTCAGAGGACATGTGGGTGCTCACCAAGCATTGCGGTGCAAGGGTGTGTGCAGGGTGTGTGTGTGTGCAGGGGTGTGTGTGCAAAGGGTGTGTGCAGAGGGTATGCAGGGGAGTGTGTGCAGGAGGGGTGTGTGCAGGGGCGTGTGTGTGCAGGGGGTGTGTGCAGGGGTGTGTGTGTGCAGGGGGTGTGTGCAGGGGAGTGTGTGCAGAAGGGGTGTGTGCGGGGTGTTTGCAGGGTGTGTGTGCAGGGGTGTGTGTGCAGGGTGTGTGTGCAGGAGGGGTGTGTGCAGGGGCGTGTGTGTGCAGGGTGTGTGTGCAGGGTGTGTGTGGTGCGGGGGGGGTGTGCAGGGGGAGGGTGTGCACAGGGCGAGCAGGGCTGGGGGCACACACTTCTCTCCCGCAGCGCAGGCCCGGGAACAGCTCACTAGCCAGTGCTCTCCGGGCAAAGGTGGAAACGTGTGGCCTGTGTGCACAGGAGCTTAGCTTGGGTTACAGACTCTTTTACATCTTTTCTGACCCTGTTCTTCTTCCTTCCTGTCCCCCCACCTCCCTGTTCTGCCAAACTTGTAAATCACTATTGTCCCATGGATGTGGGGTCGCAGCGGGTGAGGTTTAAGTTTGATTTTGGAGAGAGCTAGTATAACCGCTGCCCAGTCTAGGAACAGCCTGACTTCCCCCAGCGTCCTCTCCCTTGTTCCTGTCTCTGCACCCCTGATCCCTCACACCGTCCCCCACTCCCACCCCACTACCCTCGAGGTGGCGGTTTTAAGACAGGTGTGCAAATGTTTGCTGTTCTTCCCATTGAGAGTTGGGGCCCGCATCTGCTCCCTCGGAGCCCAGCCCAACCTGGCTACCAACTGGTAGCCCGTGGAATACACGAGGCGAGGCTCCGTGACTTCCAAGGCAGACCACAAGGCAAAGGGTTCCACTGCGTTCTCTTGGGATCTAACTCTCAGAGTCCAGCCACCGTGCTGTGAGGAAACCCAAGCAGCCCCTGAAGAGGGAAAGTCAGTCTCCCAACCCTTGGCCCCTGCTGAGGTCCCAGCCAACAGACAGCACCAAGCTGCCAGTCGTGTGAGCAAACCACCCTGTAGGTGGATCCTCCAGCGCCCGTTAAGCTGCCCCAGCTGACACTGCATGGGACAGAGATGAGACTTTCCTGCTGAGCCTTGCCCAAAATACCCATTTGGGAGCTAAATAGATAATTGCTTTTATTTTTAAGCCACTAAGTATAACTTAGTATGCAATAATAAACAACTGATATCTCACTATTTCCTAAAAAGTATACACAACGTAGTATGCCCGTGGTTTCCTACTTTTGTTCCTTCTGTTTCTTATATCCTATCTGTTCCTTATAATGACCCCTTCAAGGGGCTCCTATTGGTGAACTCCTATTCATCCTTTAAAGCCCAATTCAAATGTCCCTTTCACTATGAAGCTTTCCCTAAAATTTCTCTCCCTCTTTTTCCCACCATAAGGAGAAAATGATTGTCCCTTCCACTATGATGACAAATGCATCACTTATGCCTCACAGCCCTCAGCCTGATTTAGCTGAGTGGTGGGTTTGAGACCAGCCTCCATGGATAGACTCTAAGTATGTATAGCAAGCATCATGTCCAGTATTCCTTCCAACACTGTGTCTCTCATCTCCAGTGCCTGGTGAGGGGCTGACACCAGGAAGATGCCCTAGGAAAGTGGGTTAAATTTATGGGGGTTGAGATGAAAGACTGACCAAGGAAAAGCTGGGATACTCTTCCCCTCATAGCCCTTAAGAATGAAGCCTCATGTAAGTTCCCTCCTCCCTGGCATAAGTGATATGCCTTCCTGGACGACAGGTGAAGGGTGAGCCCTGAGGTCTGAGGGCCAGAGGGCTCTCTGAGCTTGGTAATGCCCTTAGCTCTTGCTCTGGTCCCACCCTTCATTTTATTCCTGCTAAGAAATCCCTCCTCTGAAGGATTCAGCTCTGAAGTCCTCTGCCCTCCCCACTGCACCCCACAGCTCCTGGGGTTTCACAAGATGCTGCAGCAAGAGGGGCCCAGTAGCTAGAGTGGGCCACAGTCGGCAACGCATACACAGCAAGATATATTTTAGAGCTATTAGAAAGGCATCTTTCTCTGCACAGCTGGTAGGGGCAACACCTCGCGCTCTACCCACCACCCTAGCTTCTTTGCAGGAACTCTGAGGGCTTCCCAGCAGGCTGGGTAGACCCAGGCCACCACCATGCCTGTAAAATGAGCCATGTGACATTGACAGAGATTTCTAGCAGGTCCCAGGCTTAGACTGTTAGAGTTGGTCATGGCCGCGGTCAGCAGGCGCTAGAACAGGCAGGGGCCGTTCCGGGGGTCACAGCTCCCGTCATGTGGGGATGGTCACCCACAGTAGAGACAGAACACAGATACACAAGTGGAGAGGAAAGTGAGCATTTATTTAAAATGGAAGAGTCCGGAGGAGGGATAAATTAGGAATTTGAGATGAACAGATACCCACCACTAGATATAAAATAGATAAACAACAAGGACCTACTGTATAGCACAGGGAACTGTATTCAATATCTTGTAATAACCTATCATGGAAAAGAACCTGAAAAATATATACATGTATATCTATAACTGAATCACCTTGCTGTACACCAGAAACATTGTAAATCAACTATACTTCATTTTTTTAATTTAAAAAATTAAAAAAAATTTTAACATCTTTATTGGAGTATAATTGCTTTACAATGGTGTGTTAGTTTCTGCTTTACAACAAAATGAATCAGTTATACATATACATATGTTCCCATATCTCTTCCCTCTTGCGTCTCCCTCCCTCCCACCCTCCCTATCCCACCCCTCTAGGCGGTCACAAAGCACCGAGCTGATCTCCCTGTGTTTTAAATTAAAAAAAGAAAATGAAAGAGTCACTCCAAATCACAAATTTTAAGAAGTTGATGAATACCACAAAAATCACAAAACCTAGAAAAATTACACATTCTTTTTATTTATTAATTGACCAACACGCCTCTATGGTAATTTTTCTAATCTTGGTACGATTCGTAATGAAAGGTACGCAGAATCCATCTGAAACTCACGAACAACTCAGGTGCCTGTAGAAATCGCTGTCCTGCCAAGCTGAGCCTGAACGGAGCCCCACCCACAGCGCGGACTCCCCGCCGGGGACACACAGGCGTTTGTCATGGGGACACTTGCTTCTCCTGGCATTCCTCTGTCGGTGGCAGCCCTGCGGGCCGATTTGCTGGAACCAGCAGGTTTGTCAGGACAAGATACACCAAGAAGCCCTCTGACCTGTGGAAGGCGTGCGCTGTGGCCTCACGTGGTGCTATCACCAGTTTGGACCCGCAGACATAAGAATTTTGATCAGATTCTGTCGTGTGTGATTCCCGTCGGAAGAGGCGACAGCGTATGGCATGTTTATAGTTACGGACAGTCAACGTCAACCGCTTCCTAGCAGGAGAGCCAGGCCCCGATGAGAACCAGGTCCCCTGCTGGCAGCTTCCGGCCTTGGAAGAATCTTCCGTGGACCGGCTCGTGGGCTTTTCTCCGTCCACTCCCGTGCGCTGCCAGTGGGGCACTGCGGGGCGCTCACGCGGCAGCTGGGTGTCCTGTCACGAGGCCAGCAGCCCCGCAGGCAGGCGGGGAGTGTCCCTGGAGCCGCCCTGCCCTGGATGGCTGCACGCAGCTGTCCAGGTGGCCACACAAGCCGACCTGTTTCCCCACTGGCTTCCTCTTAGCTGCACCCCAAGGCCCAGGGCCCCCCCGGCACCACCCGGCAGAGGGGACATCGGCCGGAGAAGCTGAAATGCAGACGGACGGAGGCCTTGACCAGCGGGGCTTGCACTGTCTTCCTTTCACATGCATTAGGTGCTCATTCCATACAAGGGTTGGGGGCAGGGGAGGGGCCTGGAGCTTCCCGGAAAAATGGGTCCCCGGCCTAGAACCGGGGCAGGTGAGACGTGGGGGAGGTGAGGCCCAGGCTGTGGACGTTACCTCTGACCTGGCCCAAGTCAGCGGCCTGGACACAGGAGCCAGCACAGGGCCCCCTCTGTCCCCTAGCCTCCCCGAGCCAACAGGGATGCTGACGCTGACCCCCAGGACCGTTCTGAGGTTTAAGGAGAGGGTCTGCCACAGCTCCTGGTAAGTCAGAGCGCTGGACACGCATCCAGGGCCAGTGTCACTGCAGAAGGTGCTCTCCAGGGACGGGTCTGCCTCTTTAACACAGGAGGCTGTGCTCTGACCCTCGTGGGGTGGGGGTGAGCCAGCCCTGCCTTCTGAAACCAGGGTAATCCCGCCGAAGTCACCCCCACCGCCCTCCTCCTGCTGTCAGGCGGGGATTAGAGAGCAGGCCGGTGGATTAACCAGTTCATTTCGTCACACCTTCTCCCACCAGCCGCTCTCCTGGAAGCCTGCGGCTCAGGTAGGGCGGCCCCTCTGCAGGGCAGAGAAGGGACCCCCACACACACTGGGCATTGCAGCCAGGACCCGACTGGAGGCTGGGGAACCCCAGGCTTTCCCCGACCCGGAAGGCAGAAGGCTCGGGGCCTTGCCAGGGATCTGGGCAGACAGAGCTCGGGGTCTGAGGCTGCTCTCTCCTCTCCCTGGCCCGACCCCAGCAGGGGCACCTTGCCCGGACCCCCCAGGGTCCACCCAGCTCCCAGCTCCACCCACGGCAAGATGCCCTCCCACCGGTGGCCAGAGGCCTGGGCCTCCCTGCAGAAGACGGTGGTCACCCTGTGCCTGCTGTGCAGCACGTCCCTGTCCCCCACGTGGGGGCAGGCCAGGATTCCTCTGGAAACGTAAGCCTCAAGAGCCCCCCCCCATAAACCCCCCCCCCCCCCCCCCCCCCAGCCAACCTCAACCCTCGGCCTCCCCCAGCCTCCAGGCTCTCCAGGGCTCAGCTGCCTGCTCCCCCTGTCTTGCTGTGAAGACCTTTTCTTCACCGGCCTCTTCTCTTCCCCAAATCTCTGCCATATGGGGCCCTACCGTCACCCCCTGCCCAGACACCTGACAGTCCTAGGAGAACTGAGCACAGGGGCCCACACTCTTCCTGGGACGGCAGGCAGTGTCCCCAGACCCTGAGGGCAAGGCTCCTTCCAGGGCGATCACACACTGAGGCAGCTGCAGTAGGAGCTGAGCTGCTGGACGTGACCATCTCAGCTCCACAAGGATTCGTTAGGAAACATTCTGAGAGGGTGAAGCGGTCCTAAACCGACCAATAGCTCTGCAGCCAGGAGCCAGGTGGATGTGCACGGTGGGGGCCGGGGGGTGTCTCCATTCCCTTTCTACACCTGCCTGCCTCCCTCCAGTCCCCAGTCCTACATCCTGTCACTAAAACCAGCTCCAGGGAAGCTATCGGTCATTCACACTTTGGTATAATCTAACTTAATGTGTGACTCTCTGGGGGTGTCTGGCCTCTAGTCCTTAGTTCTGGCGGTTCCGTTAAGGCCAGTTCTGATCCGTGTGGGAGCAGAACATTCAGGACTCAAGGGGCTACCTGCTCATCACACCTGAGCCCAGGAGGACAGCCAGCCTCGTGTCTGACAGAGGGGGTCCTGCAGCCCCACGAACACCTGGGGTTTGTGTGGAGCTGAGCTAAGGCGGGCTTTGAGCAGCTCTGTCCCCGTCGAGGGATCCCACCTCTAGCTGTTACAGGCCTGGTGCTGCCAGGTGCTCCGCAGATGACCCTCCAGTCCACACAGTGAGGTGGGGAACGGTCTCCTGACTCTGCAGTAGAGGAAACGAGCTCAGAGAGGTCAGACGGCCACCCCACACTCACGCAGCCTGCAAATGGCAGTGCCACACTTGAACTCGAGTCGGCCTGGCTGGGACCTCACCTCCACACCCCCTGCCAGTCTGAACCCTTCATGGTGGGGGGAGGTGTTGAGAGTAACCGTCATCCCGGAGCACACCCCAGCTAACAGTACAGGCAAGCTCCAGGGACAGGCTGAGCGCCGGCTAGCGAAGGCTGGAGCCCAGGCCTGCGTAGAGGGGACCGGCCACACGGGGCGCCCGAGCGTCCGCCGAGGGGAGGGCCCACAGCCACGCCCGTGTCTGCACGCGCCCACCGCCCTGCAGCCAGACCTCCCCCGGGCTCCGGATCCCTGCCCCCCAGTGAATCCTTCCCAGTCTTTCCCCCCAGAGACCGGCGCCTCCCCCACGCCTTCGCCTCCCACTCAGGGCTCGGCTTCTCCTGCCTGCCCGGCTTCTCCCACCTCCCAGATCTGTTCCCACCAGGACCCCCAAAGGTCTCCCTGCCCAACCCAGTACACACTCCTGGCTTCACCTCCTGGCCTGCTCCCGACACTCGGCTCTCCCTTCTTGAGTCTCAGCGCTCTCCCGGGTCTGCCCGGGCGCCCACGTTAACCTTTGTCTTCCTCTAACGCCCCTTTCCCGCCGTCGGCCCCGGGAGCGCCGCTGCTCCCCGGGGTTTGTCCTTCACTCACAGACCTTCTCAGCCAGCACCCCCTCCCTGTGAGCCCGTCCGCCTCAGAACCCCGGCTCCCACCCACCAACCAGTGACCCCCAGCCCTGACTCCACCTGCTAGACCCACATTCCGCTGCCACGGGCTGCTCTTCCTGAACATCACCGGAGCTTTGAAATTCAACTTTGTGTCTTTCCAGATACAATACGAGGGACTTACCTGGCAGTCCAGTGGTTAAGACCTTCCAGTGCCCGGGCTGGGGGAGGGGAGTCAGATGGAGGTTCGATCCCGGGTGGGGGGAGCTAAGCTCCCACCTGCCTCGCAGCCAAAACACTGAAACATAAAACAGAAGCAATATTGTAACAAGTTCAATAAAGACTTTAAAAATGGTCCACATCCCCCACCCCCCAAAAAAAGATGCAGTGTGTTGGGTGCTTTCTGGGGCTGGGCAGCTCACAGCCGCCCAACGGCACCCAGTAGCCCTGCCGCAGGGACCTCCCCTCCTGCCTCTCCCGAGCTGCACGCGTCACCTTCTGCCCTCCCCAACTTGCTCCCCGATCGTCCTGATCGTCTTAATTTTATTCAATAATACCACCATCGGCGCAACCACCCAAGCTGGAGACCTGGAAGCCATTTTGTTACCGAGCCCAAGCGTGTACTGCTCGCCACACAACAGGCCAGTCAATCGAGAGACAAGTCGTTGGGGCAAAGAAATGGCGACTCTATTCGGAAAGCCAGCAGACCGAGAGGGCAGTGGACCAGTGTCCCAAAGACCTGTCTCACCCGGGTTGGAATTCAGGCTGCTGTTATACTAAAGGGGAGGTGGTGTGTTCGGTTGTTGCCAACTTCTTGGTGCCAGGAATCCTTTGTTCTTACAGCTGTCCACATAGGTCAGGTCATGTTGTTTCTATAAACCTCAAACAAGGAAATTCCCTGGTGGTCCAGTGGTTAGGACTTGGTGCTCTCACTGCTGTGGCCTGGGTTTAATCCCTGGTGGGAGAACTATGATCCCCCAAGCCGCGCCTCTCAGACAAAGAAAGAAAAAAAGAAAAACCTCCAACAAGGCAAATGTTACTCTCTCTTCTGCAACTTTTTATCTCTATATGCATGAAAAGTGCTACACCTTGAAAGGTCAGAGTCTTGAGAATGGGCTGTCCTGTATATTTCAGGCTATAGGCAACCTTAACTTGTAGCAAAAGCAATAGAATACAAAGGTTAAAATAAAAGAAACAGATCCACCGTGGAGTCAGGTTTGTTCATCCCTGTTCCAGTTTTTGACCCCTCCAAGCTCCTCTGTCCTCTCTACCTAGAGTTCTCGGCCAAGTCTCTTTGATGGGGGAGACTCTCCCAGACTTCAACACTGAGTCAGAGCCCACCTCTGCCAGGAAGCCTTCCCTCACCACCACCACCCCTCCCCCAGCTTCGATGGTGCCCCTTCAAACGTGCATGGCGCCCTCTGTACGTGGAGGGGTGTCGCTCTAACTGTTCCACAAAGGCAAAGACTGGGCACCGTTCCTGCCTGTGCACGATGCCCAGCACATAGTAGGGCCTCGATCATTGTCGGTTGAGTGACCGAACGAATGCTGACCTTGGCATGATCACGTGGGGGAACTCCTTTTGCTCCACCTGGAGAGGCTCAGGCACAGCCCCGTGTGGCCTCACCCCCAACCAAGGGCGGGATCTCGGGGCACTTGTGGGGGCGGGTCTCTCCGTGAGGCTGCCTCACCCTCCTGCCCGCCGGCCCCGGCCTCTCAGACTCGGCTCAGAGCCTCGGCCTCCCTGCCTCACGCGCCCTGCGCAGGGCAGCTGGGGGACGACTGGCCGAGGAGCTGCAGCTGTGTGAGTCCTCGGGGTCCCCCACCCTGCCTGGTCAACCCCGACCTCGTCCCTTCTTCTCCAGCCCTCAGGGGGCGGGGGCTAGGCTTGGCTCCGGGCGGTCAACCCCTGCCCCCCAGCAAGGGTGTTGGCATCACAGTGTGGCTGCCAAGCCTGATGGGTCCTCTGGGCCCCTGCCCTGGCCGGGAGGGACCACAGCTGCCGGTGTGTTTTCCTGGGTGTACGTCAGGGTGTGTGATTGCGTGTGTGCATCTGTGTATACGTGTGTGTGTTATGTGTGTCCCTGCATGTTTGTGCGGGTTTGTGTATGTGCACCGGTGGGTGTCTCTGTATGTAGACACTTGCCTCCTGTGTGTGCGCATCTCTGCGTGTGTCTCCTTGTGTGTGCTCACGCGTGAGTGCACACACACGTACTCCCACCGTCCTGCAGAGTGAAGCTGTGGGCAGATACCTTCGGCAGGGACCTGTATGACACTGTCACCAAGTACTCGGGCTCCCTCCTGCTGCAGAAGGTCAGTGACCGCCCCCCCTCACCCTGGGGCTCCCGGGGCAGCTGGCGTTAAGCCGTCCTGGTGGAGAAGCAGGATGTCTGGGTGTGAGGGCTCTTGGGGGTCATCTAACCCAACCCCCATTTCAGATAGGGAAACTGAGGCCCAGAGAAGGGAATGATTTGCCCAAGACACAGAGCAAGTCGGGGGGTGGGGTGCACAGTACGGTCGGGTGGCCAAGAGTGTAGTGTCAGCTCAGGGGCCTGGGAAACCCACGCCTAGATGAGATGGGGGAAAGAGATGGTGGGGTGAGGAACAAAGGGGAGAAGAAGCAGGAGCTGGTGGACCGGACACAGGCCTGCTGCCTCGGGGTAGAGAGAGGTCGGTGGGAAGACCCTCAGACAGAGAGCCGCCCACCCAGTGCTCGACCTGCCGCCACGTCTCCAAGCACTAGAGAGCCACCGGGGCCCAGTGAGTCCAGTCCGGCCCCGCCTGGCCCCTGGGCAGGAGCTGAGCTGCCTGTGCACAGGCTGACAGCCGGCTTCTCGCTCAGCCCCCACAAGCTCCCATCCCGCTGGTATCCCGACTCCCAGGCCAGTGCTGAGGATGGCGCTGCCGTCCTGCTGTGAGTCGCTGAGATCAATAGTCACCATCTCAGCCTCACTGCAGCTTCAGCACCTTTCTCTAAGTGCTGCGGAAAGGGGAGCCTCTGGCTTTTATGGCCGTGCTTGTCCCCTCCCCCAGGCTGGGGGCCCGCTGTCCTGACCGCAGGGCCGCAGCAGCAATGCCGGCTCCCCTCGCCACCGCACACAGGCTCCCCCCACCCTGTGGCCGTTCTGGGTAAAAGCCTTGCACGTGACGCATCTTACAGTTTGGGGAACTGAGTAACTCGTGCCCAGGTGGCACCCAGGACACACGGTGAGGGAGTACCTCCCGGGGGCCCAGATGGCGACTCAGCGGCCCTCTTAATGCCCCCAGGCCCACTGGCCGAGAATCAGGCAGCACCCACCCCTGCAGCGCATGGGGGGCACAGACACCACGAGCCTCACAGCCCCTGAGAGCAGCCCCTGCGCTGGCTGTGTGACCTCGGTCAAGCTCACGACCTCTCTGGGCCTCAGCCTCCCTCTGAAGGATGTGAATCGGAGGACATCTGATAAGAGGTGTCTCTCGTCGGTTGTTGGGGGAGGTTTTACGAGGACGGAGGGCCATGCTGGCCCCAGTGTGAATGCACCAGTGGGAGGATGGAGGCCGCCGGCAGCCGGGGATGGACGTCCAGGTACAAGACGACAGGTGTGTGTCTCTCCACGTCCCCTGAACAGAAATACAAGGACGTGGAGCCCAGTCTGAAGATCAAGGAGGTGGATGGCTTGGAGCTGGTGAGGAAGTTCTCAGAGGACATGGAGACCATGCTCCGCAGGAAAGTGGCGGCCGTCCAGGTGCTCAGGCCTGCGGGCTGATGGGACACGGAACCCCCTCCCTGAGCCCCGCTACACCACCTTCTCCTGCCTTGTAGCCCATGAGCCACAAGACCCTTGTAAAGGACGGGGTGGGGGGCAAGCGGAGAGTGGAGAGGGCCAGGCGGGCACCCTGCCTTAGGGAACAGCCTCCAGGGTTGGAGGGTCAACCACGGTGCTGAGAAGGACCTGCGTCAGGACCTCCGGTTCAGTGATGGGACAGAGCAGGGCAGAGTGAGGGCGTAGGAGTCACGGGCTGAGTGAATGGCGGGGGCTGGAGGGTGGGAGCGTAGGGGGGTGAGAGCGGGTGGCGTGAACTCCCTCTCTCCTCCCCCAGCCTCTCCCCTCCTGCCACACAGACCCGCCCTTCATGGCACCCAAGTGCTGCCCTGATGGGGGCCCAGGGCCCAGGTGTTTCGTCACTGCACAGCCACCTGGCTTGGCCTGGTAGAAACGGGACGTGTCACTTCCCTGGCATGAAGTGCTTCCCTGACCCCTGTGGGGACCTGGCTGGTGTAAACCAGCAGGTGCTGTGTGCCAGGAATTGGCCACCCCAGACCAGCGTTATCTCCTCCTTTGGGGGGTCCAGGAGAACAAGGAGGGAGGAGAGGGGTCTGGGCTGCGGACCCGCTGGGGAGGCCGAGGTTGTGCAGACGATGCGCGAGGGTGGCCGTGGTGGGGGGACAGGCTGCAGCCCCACCGGTGTCCGCCCATTTCCCCGCCTCCCTGCAGGTTGCCAGGGCCCCCTCTCCCACCTGTGACGATTTGCAGCCTCTTCTCTGCAGGCTTAGTTAGGGCAGGGGCTCTTAGCGTCAGGAAGCAATGAGGGATACCTGGGGACCACCCACAGCAGGGGAGGCTGACCCCCAGAGAAGCCAACACAGTTGTAACACCCGCCTCCTTCAGTCAGCTGGCCTGGGCGGAGTGCAGACGCCGGGGCACAGGGATGCCTCTCTTCAGGTGCCAGCCCTCCTGGCGCCAGAGCACAAGAGGTCCTGAGACACCTCCAGAGCCCGGGGCGCTGGGCTCCGGGGGCTCCAGGGGCACCGCATCCTTTCCACGGCCTCAACACGGAAAACCAACCCGGGGGGCACTTGCTCTGTGGACCTTCTCCAAGCTTGAGGCCCTGCTCCCTGCTGGGGGTGCCCCCAGGGCCACAGCCACGGACCCTTCTATGAGGGTGCCCGTGGGGAAATTGCCTGGAGAGCGGCACTCAAATAATCTTTGCCCCATGGAATTTCTTCATCACATCTCGGCATTGGGGGTCGGGAGTAGGGAAGCAAGGAGGGCCCTCCCTCCTTGTTGGGGATAACGCTGGTTCTGCCCAGTGTACACGAGTGTAAATAGAGACCCGGAGGGCAGCGGCTCCCCCTGGCAAAGTCAGCTTAGGAGCTCTGGTCTCCTTTCCCCCACCCCCGGGTTTACTGAGGTATAATTGACAATCAAAAGTTGTGTATACTAAGATGTACAACCTGATGGCCCGATATACACAACCATTGTGAAACAGTCACCCCAACCAAGCCAGCCACCTTATCCATCACTCACAAATGGTAATTGTATTAAGGATACAATGCATTAAGGATAAATGGTATTTTCCTCCCTCCCTTCCTTCTTCCCTCCCTCCCCACCCCTTTCTTTCTTTTTGTATGAGAGGTGAGAACGCCCAAGAACAACCCTCTTAGCAAAGGTCAAGCACACCCTACAATATTGTCACCTAAGCCACCTTGCTGTGCATCAGCTCTCCACAATTCACTCATCTTGCACAGCTGAGACTCTGTACCCCTCGACCAGCGCCCATTTCACCCTCCCTCAGACCCTGGCAACCGCCATTCTACCCTCTGTTTCTAGGAGTTTGACTAGTTTAGATCCACAGTAAGTGACTCCATGCAGTATGTGCCTTCCTGCATCCAGCTGATTTCACTTGGCCTGACGTCTTCCAGGTGCACCCAGGTTGTCACAGATGGACCAATTTCCATTTGGAAAGAGCCCAAATGTCCACCAGCTGTTGAGCAGATAAACAAAAAGTGGGCTATCCATAAAATGGAATATTATTCAGAAATAAAAAGAAATGATCCCACGTGCCTCAGAGCAATTAAGCCCGTGCACCGCAGCTACTGAGCCCGTGGGTCACAACTACTGAAGCCCGTGCTCCTAGAGCCCATGCTCCGAAACAAGAGGAGCGCCACTCGCCGCAACTGGAGAAAGCCCGCGCGCAGCAACGAAGACCCGACGCAGCCAAAAATAATAAATAAATTAAATAAATAAATTACTAAGAAAAAAAAAGAAATGAATACATGTTAAACATGTCTGATACATGTTAAAATATGGATGAACCTTGGAAACATTGTGCTAAGTGAGAGACTCCAGACACAGAAGGTCAAACACTGGCTGACTCCACCTTTGGCTGCTGACTGTGTACAGACTGAATACAGAGGGAGAGAGACACACAGACACACATTTTAATAGACTCTATTTCTTAAAGCAGTTTCAGGTTGACAGCAAAATTGTGAAGAAAGTACAGAGAGTTTCCATTTACCCCCCTCCACAAACACAGCCCCCCCAAAACTATCCACACGCCCACCAGACGGTGTGTTTGTACAATTAACGAACCTACGCTGACACGTCATTGTCACCCAAAGTCCGCAGTCTGCATGACGGTTCGCTCTCGGCGGTGTACGTTCCGGGCGTTTGGACAAACGTATGACGACGTGTCTCCATCACCAGAGATCACACAGAGTAGTCTCCCTGCGCTAAGAAATCCTGCTTGCCGGCTACTCATCCATCCCTCCCCACAAACCCCTGGCGACCACTGACCTTTGTGCTGTGTCCCTAGCCTCACCTTCCCCACAATGTCATGTAGCTGGAAGGACTGGCTTCCTGTCCCTGTGACATGCACCTGCCTTCGGGCTACTGTGACTCATGACGCTGTGAGCATTCGTGCGCAGGTGCTGGTCCGAGAGTCTGTCCCCAGTTCTCGCGGGTGGGCCCTGGCAGTGGACCTTACGGGGCCTCTGGCCTCCTTCCCGCACTGACTCTCCCCTTCCCATCCCCGCCCGCAGAATCTGGTCGAGGCTGCCGAGGAGGCCGACCTGAACCACGAATTCAACGAGTCCCTGGTGGTGAGTCGTCCCCTCCCACAGCCCTGGGAGGTACGGTGCCTAATGTCCCAGCGCCCCAGGGGCTGGGGCCGCCTGAGGGTGGGACATGGGGTGGGAATTGCATAGGCCCGGCTCCATCTTTCAATGTGCACCGGTTTGTATGACGCTGTAGAGGTTTCATTCTGAACCACTGTATCTGAGGAGACATTTATGGCTGGCCAGAGGCCAGGCTGCAGGCCTTCTCTTCAGAGGGAAGCCCCCTGCAGGGACCCCCATTTTGTCCCCCAGGAGCCCTCCCCCACTGCAAGATCTCGGGGTGCTGGCCAGGCTGCCTCCATCTGTCCACCTCTCCCTGAATCTGTGTCCGCCTGTCAGTCTCCAGCGCTGGCTGCGTCCACATACGCCAAAGTGGGGACTGAAGCCATAATCTAGACAGTTTACACCAAAACCCAGAAGAACCAACCATCCGATCCAATGTCTGGATGGGTATTTGCCCCGAATCAGTGATCGTGGCCGGAATCCTCCACCAGTGTGGACGTGGCGGTCAGTCTGTCCGATATCCATCGCGTGTCGCTCTCTCTCTCTCTCTCTCCCCCCTTCCCCTCCCTGGGCCCCCTGCCCTCCCGTCTTCTCGGTGTCGCCCTAGTTTAACTATTACAACTCTGTCCTCATCAATGAGAAGGACGCAGGCGGAGCCTACGTGGAGCTGGGGGCCGAGTTCGTCCTGGAGGCCAACGCGCACTTCAGCAACCTGCTGGTGAACACGTCTCTGAGCAGCGTGCAGCTGCCCACCAATGTCTACAACAAAGGTGACCGCCAGGACCCCAGCCCGCAGCCCCGCCCGGAGCAAACGGAGGTCCCTGGGGAGGGGGAAGAGGAGTGCGGGTGTGGACAGCAGTCGTGGGCGGCGTCGCTGCAGGCTGTGGGCACACGGGTGTGTGTGTGTGTGTGTGTGCACGCGTGTTCCGCGGGGGAAGACTGATCTCGTTTCCCCTGCACTTCCTCCTATAATCGTACCCTTCAGACCCGGATATTTTGAATGGAATCTACATGTCCGAAGCCTTGAACCCTGTCTTTGTGGAGAACTTCCAGAGAGACCCGACGCTGACCTGGCAGTACTTTGGCAGCTCGACAGGGTTCTTCCGCATCTACCCAGGTGAGGCCGCTGGGAGGCATCTCCACGGTCCTCGGGGCTCCGTCTCTGGGAACAAGGCGACGGAGGCACTGGAGATGGACCCTGGTCCAAAAGCGCCTCCAACCCCCCTCCGTCCCCTTCACAACCTGATAAGCACACTTTCAAGCTGATGAAGGAATGAACAAATGACGCCTCGGTAAGCAGCCAGTAAGCGCCCACCTGGACGCTTGTCCTGTGAGAAGCACATGGGAGGCGGAAAGGAGGGCAAAGCAATTCCCATCTTCACTGGAGAAGTGGGGCAGAGTCACTCATTCAGCAGCGGGGAAGGAAGCGTCACAGGCTAGCGGCCAACCCAGCAGGCAGCGGGGAAGCCCCCTCGTCTACCAACGAACAGAAAACGGAAGCCCCTTCCACGGGGCCTCCAAGAGCGCTGCCTTCTTTTATTTCTCATTTAAAACAATTCACCACCACAGCTCATGCCCACTCGTCTTATTTTAGCCCCCTGTCCAGAAAGCCTTAATATTGCCCTGTTTTCTGAGATAGGAACCGGAAGGTGTGGCTGGCCAGGGTTCTGGACCTCCTCAATCAATAGAAATTGACAAGAGGCCAGACAAGAAACTCAGGCAAGGCTCTACTGGGGCCCCTGCTGCGGCAGAGAGAGTGAGAGCAACAGGTTCCCTTGCTCACCCCCTGGGGGGTGTAGGGGCGAGGCGAGCTGGTTCCTTATATGGGGTGAAGGTAGGGGTGTGTCCAGGGGTCGGGCTGGACGCACGGCTTAGGTGTTTTGCCCTCCCCCTTCTGGTGTTGAGAGCAGGGGGCATGCCCAGTACCCTGCTTTTGCTCCCGGCCCTTCAGAAGTGGCAGTTGGGTTTTTTTGGTCTTTTTGTATCGTGTTGTCCATAATTTGCCCCAGCTCTGCAGGCACGCAGGTATTTTTAGTCCTTCATAGTTTCTTTGTTGCTGGAGGAAACGTCTCTCCAGGTGCAAGCACTGCAGCAGAGGGTCCCAGGTGCCAGGTCCCAGCCTGTCTCAAAGGGTCCTGAGGACAGCCATGTGTGTCCCCTGGGCCTCTCTTAGGAGGAGCACAAAGTGACCTCAGGGCTCACCGGTCCCCCTCAGTGGTACCTCTTGTCTCTGCCCAAATCCACAACAAGCCATTTGGTTCTTTTCCTGTTCTCTGGAGTCTTGATGAACAAGTTCATCCCTCTTCCATGGAACAGCCCTTCAGATGCTTGAAGACAACTCCCATGTCCCTCAAGCCTTCCCCAGGGTGGAAATCCCGCCACATCGGGGCTTTCAGAGCCGTCAACGTGTGTGCAAGCACAAAACTTGCCCATTTGTAAACCAGGTTGTCGCTGTTGCTGCTGAGTTGCAGGAGTTCTCTATGCATTCCGGATATTTCCTCCTATTCTATGGCGGCCTTTGCACTCCGTCGACTGTGTCCTCTGATACACGGAAGTTGTTGCCTGTGCTTTCTGGTGTCAGCGTAGTGTTTTAGTTATTGTATTGTCTGCTTCTCAATATTTTTGTATTCCCCTGTGATTTCTTCTTTGATCTCTCAGTTATTTAACTGTGTGCTTTTTAAATTTCCAAATACATAGGGATTTGATATTTATCTTTTTAGTATAAATTCCTAGTTCAGTTGCTTTGCAGTCAGAGGACACAGTGTATGTGGTACTGAATATATGAAGTTAGCTGGGATTTAGTTAATAGCCTAGTATGTCATCACGTTGTGTAAATATTCCATGTGTGCTTTAATCGCTGGATGAAAACTTCTGCTACGTCATTAGATCAGGCTTGTCAACCGTATTGTTTAGATTTTCTGTGTCTTTGCTGGTGTTGTGTCTGCTTGACTCTTGTTAGCCCTTATGACACCTTTTAAGTCTGTTTTGTCGGTATTCATAGCGTGATACTAGTATGTTCTCAGTTGGTATTTGCCAGACATATATATTTTTTTTCCATCCTTTTACTTCCAATCTTCTATGTCATTTTGTTTTAGCCATATCTCTTGAAAATAGCTTATAGCTTTTTAATTTTTATGCAAACTGACAACCTCTTTTACCATTTCGCAAGTTAAGCACATTTCCATGTATTATGTTGATATATTTGGACATGCTATTATCTTATTTTTTAAATTTCTACTCATCCCTCTAGTTTTATGTTTCCTTTCTTCATCTTTTTTAATGATTTATGTTTTTTGATAAATCTCCCCTACCCCTTCCTTCTCTTTTTTCTGTCAGTTTGGAGCTTATTCCTCTGTTCCCATTCTTTTAGTAATTAGCCCTGCTGTTTTATCAAGCTTTTTTTTTTTTTTTTTGCGGTACGCGGGCCGCTCCCGTTGCGGAGCACAGGCTCTGGACGCGCAGGCTCAGCGGCCATGGCTCACGGGCCCAGCCGCTCCGCAGCATGTGGGATCTTCCTGGACCGGGGCACAAACCCATGTCCCCTGCATCAGCAGGCGGAGTCCCTCAACCACTGCGCCACCAGGGAAGCCCTCAAGCATTTTTAACATGCGATATAACAATTAAAATACTATTTCCACCCTCCTCGCAGCCAAAAAAGGGCTTTAGAACTCTCCCACTTGCACCTCCACCTCCCCACCCTGACTTATTTTCATCTAATGTTTCCCTGTTTTTATCCCTGCAAATTAGATACTCTCACTGTTGATATTTGATACAAACATCCCTTGTGTGAGTTCCCAGGCGCTCTCTCTAGGTTCTGGGAAAGCAAGACCATAGCAATGAACATCACTCCCACAAGACTCCTAGGCGAGCAAAGCTTTTTATCGAAAGGAGAGCTGGTGCAGCAGAAGGAGGGAAAGGGCGCCAGCTCCCTGAGGACGTCTAGGGAGGGGGTTAAAGGCCGCGCCGGGGACGGTGCAGGAGCCGATCAGTTCGCGCTCGATTCTCGGGTTGGTTGGCGTCCGAGTGAGGTTTCGAGCCTCGTCCACCCGGTTTCAGCCAGTCTGGGGCCCACGTGCCCGCGGTCAGCAGTTCTCATCGGTGGTGTCTGCTTCCTGCAGAAACAACTCAGGAACGTGTGCAGGCCTTTCTCTGTGTCTCTCGGGGAACTGGGAGTTCGGTGACTCTGCTAGCTGGGGGGTGATCGCCCGCGTTGTCCTTTGGAAACCATGTACCTACATCAGTGGAGCAGAGACAGAGCTCATCTCTTACTCCTGTGGGTCTCCGTTCACTGAGCGCTTTGCTTCACGGGCCTGTGGAGCCCTCTTCCTAGAGGCCACCCTCGGTCCTTTACACAACGGCCACGCTCTCGCCTCCCTGTCTCAGCAGCGCCCGTCATCCCGGGAGGACGCATCTCATGGTTCTTGCCTCGCTGCCTCTCACCCACAGGGGCCTGTTTCTGATGCACGTGGTGACCTTGGCTTGTGGGGCCCGACTTGGGAAAGCTTCCCTCAAGAGGGTTGACCTCTGTTTCTGCTCGGGGTTGAGGGCACCCCACCTGGGACCACCAAAGCCCTCTTCTAAGGTTTGGGTTCAGAGCCAAGAACTTCCGCCTCAGCCGCCCCTCTCCGTTGCTGTGCCGGGAATCCTGGGAAGGCCTGACCTTGGGGAGCTTAGTCTCGTAGCCAAATCACCTCCCCCCGCAGCTAACAGGAAGGACGCAAGCACCAGCAGCTGATCTGCCTGGAGGCAGGTGGGCCGCAGCTCAGAGCCCCGGCTCTCGCCTGCTCTGTGCACGCTCTGCTGGACGCTAAATAAAAGTCACACCCCTGGGCCTCCCCGTCTAGTTTGATGGGAAGTTTAGCCCCACCGATGAGTCCAGGAACCACGTGGCTGGGTGGGGGGGCGGGGTCCTACCTATGAAATTAACCCAACTCTGGATCGGCGCCGCTGGGAGGTGAGTGTCCCTCCAAGAGCCGGCCTCCCTCAGTTCACAGGGGCTGACCCACTGCCCTGGGGGTCCTGGCCGTGCCGGGTGTCAGCACCCAGGCGGAAGCTCTGGAGCAGCCTCTCGGGCCAGCGAAGAAGCCAGACTTTCTTTCCCCAGGCATCAAATGGACGCCTGATGAGAACGGGGTCATCACCTTCGACTGCCGGAACCGCGGCTGGTAAGCGTCCCCGGGGCGAGGCCTCAGGGGCCAGCATCTTTCTGTAGCCTCGGGTGTTGCCTCGTTCTCCTGCCCTGAGCCCACCCCCGCCCCCAGGGCCGCAGGTAGAACTAATCCAACACAGGAGAAGAAGAGTGTCCTTCTGCATCCCTCTCCCCCGACCCCGTCCCCCCCGTCCCCCTACAGCTGCTCCGCTCCAGCCCTGACCGCATGTGTCTCCCCTGCCCCAAACCTCCTCCCAGGGCTCTGAGCTGTCTTCGCACCAGGCTCTCCCCTCCGTCCTCACCCCTCCTCTGGCAGATCTGTAACCCAGTCTGAGGGGGCATCCAGCTCCCTCCCTTCCCACTGCCAGCACCCCGGGACCAGGGCTGGCCCGAAACAAAGAGGACAAGGGTCACCATGAGCACTTGACCATTCGATGGGCACAGTCCCAGCCACGGCACCCGAAATGGCTCCAGAACGGAGTGGTTCCGGACCTGAGAAACCCCGGGCGTTGACCTGAACTTTGAGCCAGAGTCTGAATGGAAACCAGGGGGACCCGGTCGGCGGCGGTTCTGGCTCGGCTCTCCCACCGTCGGCCTGTCCCTTCCTTTCTGCTAAAGGTACATACAAGCTGCCACGTCCCCGAAGGACATCGTGATCGTGATGGACACGAGCGGCAGCATGAAGGGGCTGCGGATGGCCATCGCCAAGCACACGGTCTCCACCATCCTGGACACGCTGGGGGAAAACGACTTCGTGAACATCATCTCGGTAAACTCGCCTTCCCGTTCCAGAAAACCCGTCCTCTGCCTGCACCGGAATGACCTGTACTTACGGCCACCCGATGCTTCGTGCTGTGAAGGACCCTATCCCCTGAAGCTGGGACTCCCCACCCAAGACAGGCTTCCAGGCGTCCACAGTTTCTGAAATTACGTGGGAAACGCATATGTCCGTTTCTCGGAGTTGGTAGATTTACTCAGGTTCTCAGACGAGGCTGGGGTCCAGTCCAGATGAAGGGGTATCCGAGTAGATCCCTAACTCAGCCCCGCCCATGTGCCCTTGCCTGGCGCCACCGGGGAGAAGCCTCCTGCATCTGCAGGATGGGTGATCCCAGGGCCCTACTTCCATCCTCCCCAAATCCAGGCAGGTCGGGAGGAGGGGCCAGCAGCCCCTGGTCCTGCTTTCACAGCGACTCTCCTGAGGGTCGCTCCACCTGCCCCCAAAAGGTGATGAAGTGGAGGGACAAACAGAAGGAAATGGGAGAGAAGAGTTAGGTAACTCCTGGTCTCCGTGAGCCCCAGGGATGGACGGCACCCAGCTGGCCTCCTGGGAAGATGCCAAGGGCCAGGATTTGAGGGAGAACGTTTAGAGTTAAGGCCCTACTGTTCCCTCCCCTCTACTCAGAGAAAATTGCCCAAAACCTGGGGTCCCCCAAGGTCATATTACACAGGGGCCTGGGTGACCCCACCCCTGGCCCACCGTGAGTTGCGAGCTCCGTCACTGGGCCCTGACTTTCCCAACTGATCTTGTGTGTTCTGCCCTCTGCAGTACAACGACTACATCCACTACATCGAGCCTTGTTTTAAAGGGATCCTGGTCCAGGCGGATCGGGACAACAGAGAGGTGAGTATACCTGTGCTGGTCCAGCATCTCCATCCAGGGGTGAGGGTGGCCCTGCACCCGGCCACTCACACCCTCTCGGCTTACCCTGGGGGCATCTGAGAGACATCCGCTGCAGGGGTCCAGCCATGAAAGTAGGGGGTGGGTCCTGCAATCTTGTTCTTCTGGGTGAATAGCTCTGCGCAGCCTCTGAAAGTACGACCAAAGGGGAAGGTTCCCTGGTCCACTGACCGGCTGACCCTCCCCCATCCTCTTCCCCGGGACAGCACTTCAAACAGCTGGTGGACAAGCTGATGGTCAAAGGTGTGGGGGTCGTGGGCCAAGCCCTCAGTGAGGCCTTCCAGATCCTGCAGCAGGTACGGCAGCTGGCGGAGCAGGGGCGCTGGGGTGGTGAGGGGAGATGGGGAGTCATGGCCACGTCCTCCACACAGTTCCAAGAGGCCGGGCAAGGAAGCCTGTGCAACCAGGCCATCATGCTGATCACCGATGGGGCCGTGGAGGACCACAGGACAGTGCTGGAGAAATACAACTGGCCGCACCGCAAGGTTCCTCCCTGGGCGGGTGGCCGGGGGCCGGGGGAGCGCCTCCTTCTGCCGTGTCCACACGCCCCACCCCGTGAGCCCCAGGCCCCGAGCGAGGGCACGGTAGAGACAGAAGACTGCTGGCTGTGAGCCCCGCCGGGCAAGCCTTCACGCCGGGCGGGCATCCCGGCGAGCCTGGGCCCCGGGCCCTTCCTGATGCAAAGGGGTGAAAGTGCGGAATCCAGAGACCCGGTCCCAGATTCAGACACAGACACGGTCAGGCCTCTCGCAGCCGGGACTCTGCTGAGTCCGCCGTGTCTCGTCCGCCAGGTCCGGCTCTTCACTTACCTGATCGGGAAGGAAGGAAGTTTTGCTGGCCGCCTGAAGTGGATCGCGTGCAATAACAGAGGTGGGTGACGCCGCGTGAGGCGGGGCGCCGGCGGCCTCACCTGAGCGCAGGTGGGAGGGCGTCCCCGGACCCCGCAGGTGCTGAGCTGGGCCTCCCACACAGGGACCCAGAGCAAAGGTGACAGCATCCGCCCCCCTCCTGCTGAGACAAAGCAAGACCCATGTCGATCGCTCCCTGCGGGGCTCTCACCCCCGTGACACCTCCCGCAGCGCGCCTGGAGGTGGTGACTCCCGTTCTGCTGTCTCTTCAAATAAGCCTTATCCAGACTGCCACACGGAAAACCATGTAGACATGGGCCCGACCTTTCAATGTCAGTCGTCTCTGATGTCCAGCCTCCGTTCCTGCTGCCGCAGATGAAGCCCGTGTGCTCTGTTTCTGCTCCAGACAAAAGGCAGAGACCGTCATTTTCTTTAGATTAAGGTTTTGTGTGTGGCAGCCCTCATCTGTCTCTGGCCAGAACCAAGACCCGGTTCCTCAATCCCAGCAGGACGTCTGAGAACCTGCTGTGGGTGGCTGACTCTCCCGGCCCTAGGGGGTCGACGTGGTCAGGAAGGCCCGGTCCAGTCGGGGAGGCGCACACATGAGCATCCGGGACGGGACCTCTGCATTGCGCTGAGGGGCAGAGGGGCACAGGCTGCCCAGGGTTCTGGGCGAGGGGCGAGCCCTCCGCGTTTGGGGGGTCCGGGCGGGCCTCCTGAAGGACAGGGTTCTAAGGTGAGACAGAAAGAAGTGGTAGGAGTGAGTCAGATGCAGAGAGCGGGGAAGGGTGTTCTGGGCCGAGGGAAGAGCATGGTCAAAGGGTCCGAGACAAGAGGCACCCTGGGAATGAAAGCTGTCCCATTCCCCAGAGCTGGCGACAGTGCTCTGTGGGAGGTGACGAGCGGTCACGTGATAAATCGTCACAGCCTTGTAAAGCTTCTCACCGCTGTGGTCTCTCCCATTGCGGAGCACAGGCTCTGGACGCACAGGCTCAGCGGCCATGGCTCACGGGCCCAGCCACTCTGCGGCATGTGGGATCTTCCCGGACCGGGGCACGAACCCGTGTCCCCCGCATCGGCAGGCGGACTCCCAACCACTGTGCCACCAGGGAAGCCCGGCATTTGCTCTTTTAAATACCGCCTCAGCTGCGGCCCCCTCCCCGTAACTGAGGGACGACAGCAGTCAGGGAAAGGAGGAAGTGGGGCTCTCAGAAAACAGACCCGGGACAGAGCTGCCTGCAGGCACCCCTGAGGACAGCCCTGCGGGGAGTGAGGGGTGGCCTCGCGCCCTGAGTTGAGGCCCTGCTGCTCGGGCAGGGGGAGCATCAAGGTCCTGCCAAGTCCAGTCAGGGCCAGGCCTTCGTGTCCCCGCAGCACCACTGGCCTCCAGCTACCCCGGGAGAGGGCCGCCTTGGGAAAAGTGGTACCTAGCGGCCCAGGGCAGCTCCCAGCCAGGGGCCCGGCCAAGAGCCGTCGCGGCTGGGGGGTGCGCAGGCCCTGCATCCACGGCCCTACGCCCCTCCCCTCCACAGGCTACTACACGCAGATCTCCACTCTGGCGGACGCCCAGGAGAACGTGATGGAATACCTGCATGTGCTCAGCCGGCCCATGGTCATCAACCACGACCATGACATCACCTGGACCGAAGCCTACATGGACAGCAAGGTGGGGCCCCAGGGAGTGAGAGGTGACTCCTGGGTTGGGAGTGGGGTGGGCAGAGCACGTCCTGGAGAGACACTGGGGGAGCGACACCTTGGCCCGGGAGCCCCGGGAGCAGACCACCCCCCCAGGGCCGCACCCCCGTGGACAGAGCCGTCTGCTGCAGACTCATCCCTCCCTTTTCCCATAATCCTCACCTGCTCTGGGAAGAAAGGGGACCAACCAGTGATTCAGGACACTACGGCTTAACCAGCGGCCTCCCTCAGGGCCCAAGTTTCCAACAAGACCTCCTGTAGTTCTCCCCCATGCAGGACCAGACACGGAAGGTAGACAGTCAGATGAGATGTCGGGGAAGGGACCTTCCTGGCACGCCTCAAACCCAACACAGACGCAGACACCTGCTCCAGCAGCGTCATAGCAGGCTGGGATTAAGAGACATCTGGAAATAGTGGCTTCGATAGGAGAGAAGTGTGTGTCCCCCTCACGTAAAAGGGGACACGTAAAAAGTGGATGACGAGCCCCCTGGCCCCTTCCCGCTGCCCCCTGCCCCCTGCCATCCCTGGGGTCCACATAGTCCAGGTGGCTAGTGGGGTCAGGACGACTGCGGACGAATTCTAGGCTTCAGGTGGAGGAAGGGGGGGGCACACCCCACCTTTAAGAGAAATGTCGAGGCACTCTTACCTGACACTTAATCTGGCATCTCAGTGACCAGAACTTGTCCCCTGTTGACTCCTTGGCCTGTCCTCTTGCTGTCTGAGCCTCTGTTTCTGGGCTCATGCACAGATGGGCTGGTCCCACGGGTGCACCCTCATCCTTGGCATGGCCGAGACCAGAGGCCTGGGTGAGCCTGGGTGTGCTCAGGGGCTGGGCCGCACATTCGGGGCTCTGGGGCCCGCTCCGGCTTAGGGCTTCATTCGCTGAGTGACGTCAGCCCGCTCTCCTGTCCGGCCTTCCCCGCTCCAGCCTTTCCCCCAGCTGTCTTCATGCAGAGAAGGGAAGCCTCCTTGGGGATTTCTTCCTCCCGTTGGAAGGTGCCCCTGAGTTGTGGTTCAAGTGGCGGCTTGGGTCCCCAGTCTGTGGACACTGCCCTCCGCTCGTCCCCCCTGACAGCTCTCTACCCGCAGGCGCAGAGCATGGCGCTGCTGACCACCGTGGCCATGCCTGTCTTCAGCAAGAAGAACGAGACGGTAAGTGTCTGCTCACGAGCGGCTGCCCGGCTTAGAGCTCCAGCCGCTGCCTGGCGTCGTTAGACCTGTGGCTCTTGACGTGGCCTCAGAGCCGCCTTGGGAGGGTTTAAGGTCAGGTTCCAGGCCCTGTGCCCAAGTAGCCATGTCAGAATCTCTGGGTCGGGAGGGGATGGGGCAGGGGCCACACTTCCGGAAGCCGCCCCGTGATTCTGTTCATCCAGCCTGGCGCTGACCCGCTGCTCTGGACTTGGGACCCTGGCTTGGGGATCAGGGCCAGAGGGGTCACCTGCCAGGCTTCCGGCAAAAGCACACGGAACCTGCTAGTGTGGGCAGGCCCTGGCTTGTTCGTAAAGGCTCTGGTGGGGAGTGTGGGAGCCGTCCGTCCTCTACCTGGCCAGGGAGTATTTCCTCATGGGCTCCGGTGGGGAGTGAGAGCCGTCCATCCTCTACCTGGCCAGGGAGTATTTCCTCACGGGCTCTGGTGGGGGGTGTGGGAGCCGTCCGTCCTCTACCTGGCCAGGGAGTATTCCCTCACGGGCCCTGGGCGTTTCAGGGCCCCTAGATGAGGGGCCCTGGGATCCCAGTACTTCAGCCTCTCCTGTGAAAGCTCATATTTCATTCAACTTTGTAGTTCATTTAAATATTAAACTTAAATGTTAATACTGGACATTAATCTTCCCAGCGGCTGAGATTACTCCTGGGGCCTCTTCTAGTAGGTTCTAGATTTGTATTCCAGGGAGCTCTGCCTAAAATCTAACTGCAGAGCAAAGACCACCTTAGGTCCAAGTGGCTTCCTCTTCCGGGCTCTGGAAAGGCCGTGGGTTCAGTTTGGCCTCGTGCATGGGAAGCCTGGTCCCCCCTGAAGCTGGCATTTCCTTCCAGCGATCCCACGGCATCCTCCTGGGTGTGGTGGGCTCTGACGTGGCCCTGAGAGAGCTGATGAAGCTGGCGCCCCAGTACAAGGTGAGCCCGGTCAGGCCCCCAGGTAGGGTCACGGGCCTCCCAGGAGACACCCCACCAGGCTCTGGAGGCTCCCTGCAGGCACTGCAGCCAAGCTCACAGCTGGGACGGGGCCTGCGGCCGCCCCTCAGCCCCACCCCAATGTCACACCCCCGACGCCCTATTCCCCCTCCCCGGACACCCCACCCCCAGACATCCCCCCATCCTGCCCCCCACATCCCACCCCCGGACATCCCGCCCTTAGAGACGTTTGGGCACAGAGCAGGGGAACCGAAACTTGGGCCCCTGGGACGCTTGGTCACGGCAGCCGCGACGTGCTCTGTGGCCTTCGGCACGTCTGTGCCGTCCTGGTCCGCCTGCGCACCACGCAGCCCCATCTGGGGAGGAGCGAGGCTGTGTAATCAAAGCCCCAGAGCAGTGGTGGAAGGAGGCAGGTGGTGACGTTCGTTGTTATGGTCACTGCCGACTGGAGCAGCTGGAGCAGAATTCAGAGTGAGCGGCTGGAAGCTGCCCAGCTTGTTCATACTGTCGCCAAAACGGGGCTGTGAGAGGTGGTCTTCCCGCCCGTGGCCCCGCCCCCTGCCCGGCCCCAGTCCTCCTGCACAGATACCCCCTGACCCCCTCCATCCCTGTCTTCCTAGCTCGGGGTGCACGGCTATGCCTTTTTGAGCACTAACAATGGCTACATCCTCTCACATCCTGACCTTCGACCCCTGGTAGGTACCGATCCTATTTGCCTCGGGGGTCTTAACTGTGCGGGATGTGGGGGTAGTTCATACAGACGGTTAAAACAATGAACACGCCTTCAGCTCCATTGAAGAACCCGATGGACTACAGGAAAAAAATTAAGTCATGGTCCCTGTTTTCAAATTGCTTATGATCTAGCAGGAGAGACAAGGCAGAAATGCACGAACTGGTAGCAGCCAGTCTGCAGGGAGCCTGTCATGAGTGTGCAGTGTCCCTGGAGGACGTGTCCCTGGAGGACCCGTCCCCTTCCCCGTTGTCACCCCGTCAGTCACCCCACGCTCTGTCTTGGAGTCTGACCGTGTGTCCCCAGATCGCCAGGGGCCACCCCAAGGGCGTAAGTGCCAAGTTAACACTACAAACGGCAGGAGGCGTCCCCCACGAGCTGGGGAGCAGAGCTGAGGCTGCCCTGAGGATGTGTCCCCAGGGCTCCTGCCCCCTTCCAGCTCCCTCCGTCCCAAGGCGGGAGCCCATGGCGTTTTCACCTGCGTTCAGATGAGCGGCCGAGGCCAGGAGAGAAAGCAGCAGCCTTTTATCTAAGGTGCTGCCTCCCCGGCCGGGGGGCTCCCCGAGACCTCCATCCGTGGCAGTAGTGGCCACACCTCCCAGTGTGGTTGTTGGGAAGCGGGGAGGGGAGTTGGGGTCCCAGCGGCATCGCGACCCTTCCCCTCCACCAGTCCCCTCTGGAGTCAAGGTTGGCACTGAGGACAGCAGCACCGCGGGCGCCTTTCCGAGCTCTCTCCTGCCCAGGTGCCACGGAGAGACCAGCCTAGGCCACACTGCTGTCCGTTCGGGTCAGACGGACGCTGAGTGACCAAAGGCACTGATTGAGCTATTTAAGGAAACGCTAGGGGTTCAGAGTTGAGAGAGACCAAGAACACTGACCTCTACCAGCGGGTCCTGTGGGGGGCAGCCCCAGGGCCAAGAAGATGACTCATTGGGGAAGAACAAAAATGTTGGCCCTTTAGAATTAAGGGGCACCTGTCCAAAACCTATCTTCACATCTATGTAGTGTGGATGAACATAAGCTCTCAAGCAACCCATGCGTACTGTGGGCCCGTCGCACGCCTGACCTAATCACGCTCCGAGACGCTGTCAACAGACATTTATGGTCCAGTTAAGGAAACAGACTTACACAAATGAAACGATGAGAGAGCTGTACCACGCAGAACATTATCCCATACAGCAAAGCCAGCACAGCGAGATTCCTGTGGAGAGAGAGATTCATTCAACACAGGGGTCGAGGAGAAGAATAGCTGAGTTTAAAAAAGAAAAGTCATAGAGGACATGCCTAGTAATAAAGGAGGGGCCGGAGCCATACTTTCGGCCTGAAATGTTTCCACGTCAGTGCCCAAACTAGGAGTAATGGAAGCGGAATTACGGTTTCCTGAGGAGCCCGGGATGGCCTTTCAGATATCCTCAGGAATTAGGAGGTGGCAATGAGCCGGGAGGGTCACTTCTTACTCAAAAGCAGCACCGCCCTGAACAGGAGCGCAGGGCAGGGCTGCTTGTCATGAGAATAGACTTTCAACAGGCCACGAATGGGAACATCGTTCGAGCACAGGCAAGAAACTGGAGACACTTTCTTGAGAAAAGAGGAAACTTGCTGAAGCAAGATACACAGTGATGGGGGACGTCAGCCATTCAAGCATCTGTGGGGGGCCTCGTCCTGCTAAATAGAGACCTCTGCTTAATTCCTAATGACCCTGATGATAAACTATCCTCCTTCCTTTTTTTTTTTTTTTGCGGTACGCGGGCCTCTCACCGCTGTGGCCTCTCCGGCTGCAGAGCACAGGCTCCGGACACGCAGGCTCAGCGGCCACGGCTCACGGGCCCAGCCGCTCCGCGGCATGTGGGATCTTCCCGGACCGGGGCACGAGCCCGTGTCCCCTGCATCAGCAGGCGGACTCTCGACCACTGCGCCACCAGGGAAGCCCCTCCTTTTTACTTTTTTGATCTATCACCAAATTAAACCTGGGGAATGCTACAGACCTAACAGCAGATGACTTGACGATATCTCTCTTGGTGTCAGAGAGAGAGAAGTCAGGGCCAGAAAATGATAATAACACTCAAAGAATGTTGATGAATGGTCCTGTCACACTGGTTGGAGGGCTTTATCGGGCTTTGCGGAATCCGTCTGTCCTTGGCTCTGCTCGCTCAAAAATTCTATCAACAAAGACTTCCCTGGTGGCATAGTGGTTAAGAATCCGCCTGCCAATGCAGGGGACACGGGTTCGATCCCCAGCCTGGGAAGATCCCACATGCCACAGAGCAACTAAGCCCGTGCGCCACAACTACTGAGCCTGTGCTCTAGAGCCCGCGAGCCACAGCTACTGAAGTCTGCGCGCCTAGAGCCTGTGCTCCACAACAAGAGAAGCCACCGCAATGAGAAGCCCGCACACCACAATGAAGAGTAGCCCGCGCTGGCTGCAACTAGAGAAAGCCCATGCGCAGCAACAAAGACCCAACGCAGCCAAAATTTTTTAAATCAATCAATCAATCAATAAACTGCACACAAAAAATTCTATCAACAAGATGAAAACACAGAAGGAGATGCCATGGGATGTGGAAGGTATGGCTAATACATGAAGGGAGAAAATTAGTATTCAGAAAGTATTCTTCTAAAACGATGGGCTGGAACTAAGGAGATGAAATATATTAGGAATGCATGGAAAGTCGTGCAGCATACTTGATGCCCAAGCAGAAGATGGTAAAGCTGTGATTTAACAGTGCATCACAAGGAAGGTCAAGGGAATCTAATGGGCTGAAAACTCGGTTTGACCTGTCGGGCGAGGTAGCTGTCCTGGATTAGCAGAATCAGAGGCAGCGGTCAGAGCCGTACGATGTTTTGGTCTGCACGGGTCACACCCCACCCCACACTGGTCAGACCCCACCTGAAATAGCGACTGTCCCAGGCACTCTGCTTCGAGAGTGACATTGACAAAGCAGAAGAGGATCAGAGGGAGCTGAGGCATCTGCGAACTGGGAATGTTTAGCTCGGGGAGGCGACGTCTTAGCAGTGACGAGCATCCCCAAAAACCCTCAGGGGGGTCGGGTGGAAGCTCTCTCTCTGTGTAGCTCCGGGGAGAGGCCTAGGACCCGTGGGTAAAGTCACAAGGAGGCAGGTTTCAGCTCTGCATGAGGAAGAGATTTCTAACAACGTGAGTCCAAACCTAGGACAAGCGTACTCACGATGGGAGCTCCTTGGTGTATGAGATACTCTCCCTGAGGCTGGGAGACCATCTGACTCAAAGGTTGGCAAGGGCCGCTCTGCCTTGGGGGGAACGTGGCCCACACGACCACGAGGAATCGCTGAGCTTCACTGGGTTGTGACTGTGCCAGACAGGCTTTCTGGAAGGGCCGGGGCTTGTGTTAACCTTCCGTCTCTCCCCCTGACTGGCGCACTCAGTACAGAGAGGGGAAGAAACTGAAGCCCAAGCCCAACTACAACAGCGTGGACCTCTCGGAAGTGGAGTGGGAGGACCGGGCCGGAACCGTGAGTGGACGGCCGGGAGGGGGTTGGTTGGCTCGACAGCGGGTCCCGGGGCCACAGGCGCTGAGCTCAGCCCCCTCCCTTGGCCCAAAGCAGAAGCAGTGCCTCTAACGGGCAGCCCTCCCACCATCCACAGAGAGAAGAGTCTCTTCCTCTGGGGCTGAAGGAGCACACGTCTGTGAGCCACAGAGTTCGGGTGTGAGGGCGTTTTAGGCTGGCCTGGGTGTTGGAAAACTTGCATCTCAGGGCTCGGCCACCGTGTTCCCTCGCCCGTCAGCCCACTGGGAGCATCCTCTGAGTGAACTCCAGAATTCCAGCTAAAGGGAACCTGGCAGCCGGTCTATATTGCCACCTGTAGCCTGCTTGCAGGAGAAGGGGGAAAACGCAGCGTGTCCCCAGGGGTCACCTCCAAGGCAGTGTTCATTGCTTCATGGTCCTGTGTGAGCCGAGTTCTATTATCTGTTCTATTACTAATTCTATTACCTTTCCCCCTGAAGCTGAGAACAGCCATGATCAACAGGGAGACAGGGTCCCTCTCCATGGACGTGAAGGTTCCGCTGGACAGAGGGGTAAGGCGCTCGAGGGAAAGACTGGGGTCTGCTCCCAGGAAGCGGCGTCATGGTTAACTGGGGTTGGTGGTGGTGACGAAGGACCTGGCTGAGTTCGAGCTAAAGCCTTGAGAGCTTGCTGGAGCCTGGAGGGCCCTAGTGGGGGGCCCGGCCCAGCGGGCATCGGCCCCATGGAGCACCGGCCGGGGAGCTACCGCTCTCCAGGGCCTGGTTCTCGGGGCCGCAGAGCGAGGCCGTGGCCAGCCCAGCCCTTCGCAAGTCTTCCTGCTGCCTGCCATGTGGCCCTTTTGTTGTTTATGGTGGAAAGGGGGAAAGTGACAGTTAATTTTGCCAATCGTTAGCAGCTCTTGTAAAACATGTTATATGGGAAGAGGTTGAAAATAATTGCTACTCCGTAGAGCAATTTCCACCCATGGCAACCACAGATAATCAGGCCAGGTCCCCGCAGCCGTGCCATTCCTGTCACCACAGACCCGCGCGTCGCTTACAAAAGACCACTTCATCTTCTCGTTGAAAAGGTCCCCCTGCGTTTGCACTGACGGGACTTTGTCCCTTGAAATATTTGCAAACGTCACCTCCTCCCTCACGGCCACCCCCGCATCCCCTCCGCTGCCCATCGGCCTCTGCAGAGAGAACGCGGGCATGGGTCTGCAACAATTAGATCCAAGTTCTTCCACAAACACGGACCTCCGTGGAAGCCTAACAGGAAAGCGCTGGGAAGGAAAGCAACTCTGCATTCCTTTTAGATGCGTGCGCTGGTTTTCACTGGGACACGTCTCATTTCTGTGGGATCTGCCTGTTGTTTATAAGCTCCGGGCTGAGAGGGGCCTCCCTCGGGCAGGCTGGGCAACATCCCTGATGTCCCACCAGGCCCAGCAGGTCCTTCTCTTGATCCAAAAAGGCAGAGGTTTCTTCCACGCGCCTCCACCCTTATCCCAACCGGACCCCTGCTCCTGGGCACCAGGGAGCGCGCAGCCACCCGGCACTGCCAGAGCACATCAGGTGGGACATGCTTCCAGGCTACAACGTGAGTTCCACGCACAGGGCGAGGTCTAACTCAGACCAGCTCGGGAAGGGCTCCCAGTGCCGCATCCTCATGTGGCCTTCACGCTTCTCAAAGCGACTGAGGGATGGTCCTAACTGGATCCAGGCAGTCTGGACGTCTCCTGAAACTGCTGTCCAGCCCTTCAGAATGTGTTCACTGCTGTTAATAAACTGTCCAGGTAAAATTTGCAGTTTGACAAAGGCTTCTGGGCATGCGGTGCTCTGACATGAAGAAATAGGGTGATGCTGACTGTGGTCACGACCGTGGTGGACATTTCCCAGCACATCGAGTTCTCGCCTTACCTCCACTGCAACGAATCATGATGATGATGCCAGCTCACCTTTATTAGAAGCTGGACTACACTCCATAAGCCTTCACTCACTTCCCACAGCCCTGTGATGTATGTCCTGTCCTATCCCCATTTTACCGATGCGGAAATTCAGAAAGCAAAAACTTGCCCGGGGTGACGTAGACCAGCGGTCCCCAGCCTTTTTTACACCAGGGACCGGTTTCGTGGAAGACAGTTTTTCCCCGGATTGGGGCGGGAGGAGGATGGTTCAGGCGGTAACGCGAGCGGTGGGGAGCGAGGGGTACTGCGGAGGAAGCTCTGCTCACCCGCCCGCCTGCCACCCACCTCCTGCTGTGCAGCCCGGCTCCTAACAGGCCGTGGACCGCTACTGGCCCGCGGCGCAGGGGTTGGGGACCCCTGAGGTAGACGATCAACCTCCAGGCCTGTGTGCTTGGGTCTGATTCTGACCACACGCTCCCGACCACGGCTGTGCAAGGCCTTCCCGTAGGACAGGCCCTGATTTCTCCACTCACTCTCCAGAATGAAAGATTTCCCGGGTCTCTTTAGAGATGCCTTTCTGTCCCTTCTTTAAATTCACTGTCTTCTCCTCTCCCTCCACCCATTACACCATGACGCAGCCCTCTTTAACCAATCGTTCCTCTCTTTACTCTCGTGCCCGGAAGCTCCTGTGCCTGCCCGTGTAGGCGGGACACTTTGCTGGTAGGAAAGACGCCATGGTGGAATCCAGCCTCTCACTGCTGTGGTGATGGTGCCCCTCCCTCAGCTCAGCCTACGTCTACCTTACGGGGTCCTCAGCAGAAACACCCTTCAGGTCTAGGCCCAGGGAGGCTTTCTTAGATCATTGTGGGAATATCCGATATCATTCAAGCCATTCTCCAGGCAGGCCACAACCTGCTTGGTCATTTTCTCCAGGGGATTTTGCATGCGTCCTTATTTCCCAGGGATTAATTCAGACCTTTCTCCATCTCCCCTAAACTCCAGACAGGCAACTAGGTAGTGCTACTGAGGACAGTGGCAGCAGCCCAGCATGATAAGAGCAGGGCTCACAGACTCAAAAGCCTGCGGGGCCAGATCAGCCGAGTTCAGGAATGTAAATGGGAGAAGCAGACAAGCCTCCGTGCTGCGGAGCCTGGGAGCCACGGCAGGCTGCAGAGTGCGGGCCCCTCGGAAGGATTCGGCTAGGAATCCATGCTGTTAAGTGTGTGCAACTAATTCCAAAAATGTGAGAAACACAGTCTGGCCCAATATCTAGGGTCTCCAACTTGTGAGGAGCCCACGAGCTAAAGAGGCTTCAACCCTTGAAGCGAGAGAAGTGCGCGGGGTGAGGTGTACGCTTATATGGCTCTTTCCCCAAAGGGCTCACCCCAGTCCATCTGGAATGGAACGACTAGAAGTCAAGCAGAGATCTGTTGTTATCATCTTGAAGTGTCAGAGAACAGACTTTGGGCTCCCAGAGTGTCATAAAATGAGGGGAGATACCCCAGAAATGAGGGAGTCACAGGTGGGCTGGCCCTAACATATGTATGCAAGTTCCTCTCCAATTCCTGACTGACCTTGAAGCTACACATCTCCAGGGGGACTCCAGGCAACAGCTTGAGAGCTGGAAGTCAGAGCAGGGACTTCACCGCTTCCTGTGGTCGTGGGGAAAATTTGGAGTCACACCAGGGTGAGGAGGCTCAGTAAATACCTCAGAATTTTCTTTGAAAGCACAGAAGAACTACACCTTGGGAGCAAAGACTATGTCCCAAGACCAAGGGATTCACCCTAGACCTAAAGACAAAGTTGAAGCAGATCCACCCTAGGGAAAATGTAATCCAAGTCTCTGCAAGCTCAAGGTGGTCAGCCAGCCATTTCTCTGCTGAGTAAAGTAGAAATCAACACTCCCTGGAGGAAGCCAGAGTATCTACAACCTATTCTCCACAATAGCCAGCAGACACATGAAGAAACAAGATGACGTTTCCCTTCTTAATAAAGCAGTCTTATTTGTGATCCATAGATGACCCAGCTACTGAAATTAGAAGAAGGACTTTCAAGCAGATATGATAAATATGCACAAGGAATTAAAGGATAAGATGGTCATCATGAGTGAACAGATGGAGAATCTCAGCAGAGAAATGTTTAGGATTTAATCAAAGAAGCAGGACCACTACAAATGATATGAATATAGGGTTTTATTGTAGGGGGTAGACCTAATGAAATGGTGGGAGCTGGTAAAAATGTCTACAGAAGGCAGGTGTCTCTGCCTCTAGTCATGAGCTTGAAGTCATCGTAGGTTGGCAGGGCCAGCGATTGGGAAGGAAAACTGGATGAGATGTGGGAGAAAGCAAGAACAAACTGGAACCCATGAGGAAGAATAGGAACCCATGAGGACAAACTAAAACCAGCATCTGTCTCTCACTATCTCCAGCCACAAGGATGTGGGACCTGCAGAAGGAGCTCGTGCCCTTCACCTGGGCCTGCACGCTCACTGGCTCAGATCTCAGAGAGACTGAAGGAGGAGGTCCAGTGGCAGCTGCCCGTCCCAAGAAGGGAAGCCAGCAGAGCAGAGTGAGCTGCCGCAGGGCCCCATGTGCTGTACCCACTCCAGTGTGTAACACGGCCGCGGCTTTGCTCTCCCTTACAAATCTCATGCAGACTCCTCATCTGGCCAACCCTAATTTGGAACCATACAGGGAAGTGAGTCTGAAAAAAATGTAATTCCAGCTTAGCTGACTTGACACAGTGTAAGACCAGCACAAGAACCAAGTGGAAATTCTAAAACTGAAGAGTGTAACACCTGAAAGGAAATTCCTACAGGACGGAATTAACAGCAGATGGGAGGGGAAAGGACAGTGACTGTGAAGACAAATAGAAACTATCCAATGTAAGGAACAGAAAGAAAAGTGTTTTAAGAAATTATTCTTCAGTTACCTGTGGGTTAATATCAAGTGGTCTAACGTATGTCCTTAGAGTCCCAGAAGGAAGGAGAAGGGACGGAACAGAAAAAAGTATTTGAAAAACTAATGCCCCAAATGTCCTGAGTTTAGTGAAAAACATCAACCAATAGATGCAAGATTCTCAGCAAAACCAAGCAGAATTAAAAAAAAAAATCCACACCTAAACACACCATAGTCCACCTGCTGTGAATCAAAGAGAAGGGAAAATCTTTTTTTAAAAAGTAAATTTATTTACTTATTTATTTATTTTTGGCTACGTTTTGTCTTCATTGCTGCGCGCGAGCTTTTCTCTAGTTGCGGTGAGTGGGAGCTGCTCTTCGTTGCAGTGCAAGGGCTTCTCACTGTGGTGGCCTCTCTCGTTACGGAGCACGGGCTCTAGGTGCGTGGGCTTCAGTAGTTGTGACACGCGGGCTCTAGAGCCCAGGCTCAGTAGTTGTGGCACACGGGCTTAGTTGCTCCGGGGCATGTGGGATCTTCCCAGGCCAGGGCTCGAACCCGTGTCCCTTGCACTGACAGGCGGATTCCTAACCACTGTGCCACCAGGGAATTCCTGGGAAAATCTTATTTAAAAGCTAGAGGAAAACAGTAATAGGGGAAAACAATAGTAAGAATGATGGCTGACTTCTCATCAAAAACAATAACGTAATGTTGTTAAAAACCAAAAGAAAAAACTGTCAACCCAAAGTTCCGCATGTAGAGGAAATATCCT